GGTTTGGGAAGAATTGTCTCCAGAATTGGCATTCATTAAGTCGAGGACCACTTTTGAGATTTGAATTTCTTTTATCGCCATTGATTTCAATGAATTCACGCCTATTCTCATCATAGAGTGGCCATACATTGTCACCAAAATTATTGTCCGGTACTCTAATGTTGACAATATATTAATAACGAATATTAATTTTAATTTAATTAATGTCTCAAGTGTTTGAATAATAGTTAACTAAGTTATACACAATGTTATTTTATAGCAAACATTTAATTAATCATTAATGCACTATATATGCATATTGAATTATATGATAAATTAGGGCATTCTGTACTTATTTCTATTATCATGAATTTAAGTTTTGGCTCAAAATCAAAACAATATATCAGTTATATATTTAGCAAAATAAACGGAACTTAAATGAGAAACAGTGATTGAAAAAAAACTTTTTATCAATATTTTCCAATTCATAACAAACATTTAAAATGTTTTTCAATATTATGTAATAAAACTAATGCCCAGATCTTATGACATAATGCACTTGACATACAATGCCATTGAGATTAGATTTGTAAACCAGACAACAGACTGTAGTTATCATAATAAACACACTATAAAATTATAAAAGTAATTATGTGCCCAAAATGCATGGCATGTCTCACCCGTTTCGTGCAAAACTGGACCAACTCTTCATCAAATTAGTTGATAACTGTATTTCGGGTTCGCTGTAGCGGTGAGGGTAGCGGTGGGGCAAACCAAACACATACTGCACTTCGTCGAAATGCGGTGAACCCATCCATTGGCCCCAATAGTTGTCAAAGTGTTTAATGTGCGTAAACTGATAGTAGTATACGTGGGCTCCGCCGACGGTCGACACGCCGTCCGCCAAATACACCGACGGGCAGATGAACATCGAGTCGCCGATTATGTCGACCAGCGATTGGCGCACCGATGAGTAATCTTCTTCGCCGACGACCGACATGTAAAAGTCGGTGATCTGTCGCAGCTGTTGGTCGGACAGCACACCCAACCACCAGCCCTCAGACATGGCTCGTATGAATCCAATGGCCTGTGTTTTAGTGATATTAAGAGGCGAGTTGCGGTCAAACATGTCGGGCACTCCCATGAATAGTATGGCTGAGCCCTCATTCCGATTGGTGCCCAACAGTAGATCCGTTGCCGACACCTGTTTTTGGTTCACAGACTGGATTGGATGCTGCGCTGATATCTCGTCGCCAAATATCAACTGCAATGCAATTCCTATTCAAGTATTAAAGATAAAAAATTAATTATTATGTAATTATAATAACACTTTGCAAACGAATATCAAACCTCTTGAATAGATATCTTTGTAGACATTCATGATCTCAAGTGAACTCATATTTCGCATACAATTGAAATCAATAGTCTGCTCATCGCTCAGACAACCGGCATCTCTGGCGATAAGTCGCGACTGTTTGAGCGCCAAATGCGGTGAAACGCCGCCGATATTATGATAAGGACTTCCGCTCTGAAGGATCGCCCGTTTGAACAGTTGAGACGAGTTCGGCGACAGGAGGTGAACGCCGGCCGAAATACTGCCGGCGCTCTCACCGAATACAGTGATGAGCTCCGGGTCGCCGCCAAACCTATCGATATGATCGCTCACCCATTGTATGGCCATTCGTTGGTCGTGTAAAACCAGATTCCCGGGCGCGTCGTCGCTGTCCGCGTAAAACAGGCCAAAAATACCCGTCCGATAGTTGAACGTAACGACCACTACATCGCCGATTGTGGCCAACGTTTGGCCGTCGTATAGGTCCAGATCGACGGAACCGGTCTGAAAGCCTCCGCCGTATATCCACACCATAACGGGGTATAACTTATTATTGGTTGTGTCGCCCGATATATTGGGTGACCATATATTAAGATAGAGACAATCCTCGGCGCCGGCCAATGGACTGCTCCACGGCATTGACTGTCCATTAATATAGTTGACACACGGCGAGGGTATTTGTGTGGCGTTAAAATCACCATAGTCATCTATATTGTAGGCGATAGGCTTTTTGAATCTAAGCCCACCCACGGGTGCTCTCGCGTACGGTATACCCAAAAACACTTCCGCTTTTTTGTCAAATACATTAACTTTTTTGCCAAATATTCTGCTTTTATCGTTCAATTTAGTGGCAATTAATTCACAATTTATTAAATTAATACTAAATATTGTAACAAACAAAACGATTACATTAATAAACATTGTTTTCTATCTGTCAGCTCTTATTTGCTGAACAAATTTTATATATGGTTTTGTCGTTTGCGGAAAGTATCCCAGCATTCAATGGCAAGAAAATTATTTTTATTAGTTTAAGCGATTTGGTTGAGTGGCTACACGTGTCTTACTTTTATATATAATACGTTATAACAGTATATTTATAACTATCAAGATATTCATTATAAAAAGAGTATTTTTATTTGCTATTTATTATATAAGTTTTGATTGCTTTCAAGAGTTTCTATGACAGACGAGGAGAAGATTTCACTTAAAACTTTCCATACAATTGAACTATTATTGCATCAAAAGAAAGAGTAAATGAAATAATTATTATGTAGAGAACGAGAGGCTGTGAATGGTATGGATGAACACATTTAGCACATGATTGTGTCAATGAGTTTAAATTTAAATTAATGATACATGTATATCCAGTTTTCACTAGACGTTAAATCTATTTATATTATATAAAACTTTATATAATATATAAAGCATTTTATATTTTTAACATACGATAAGATTGTAATAGTTTTTGTCTTTTTATATTCCCTTTTATACGAATTGAATATCAGTTTCACTAATCCAGTGAACACTGATTATAACTTATAATTTATAAGTTAACCGTTACTTTATTGGTATGTGTTTTGAATTTTTGTTATAAAATTAAAAAATTTTAATGAATTTTAATAATTTTAGTATTTATTAAATTCAAATAGTATTAAATAATGCATAATATTGCAGTATTATCATTAATCCTGCCTATGGATTACCCATGGTATGCAGTATATACCGTACAGTACGGTACAGTGCATACCATCCCGTACAGTACAGTACAGTACACCCCATAGGTCTACCATCGCATACATAGCTCTACCATCATAAATCACAACATCTGGCATGCTGTATGGTATGCAGTACTGGGCCTACAGTGGTTGCATAACCACCGCCCAGTCCTGCAGACCATGCATTATGCATACACTCAGTGTATATATGCTGTGCACGAGTGTAAACCCCACGACAGTCCGCTCTTAGCTCTGGTCCAGTGGTGATCAGAGTGTTAGTTAGTTTTTTCTCATTCATTTAGTATAGCCTTTACTTATGGACTAATATACTGCATAAACCCTCTAATTGTGTAACATTTTATATCTTATTTTATATGTATTTTCTTTGTATTGTGCGAACCTTAATAAATAGTTTGCAGTAAATATTGTGCGATTATTCAACTATACCGCTCCGCGCGCGCACCGGCATCAGTGAGCCAAACCCCACGGTAAACGGTAAGTCCCCACATACGGGAGGCAACTTATGGTAAGTACCCGAGTGCCGGGACATAATTGTATAATTACGCGCGTGCCGTACGATAATATTGCATATGGTGGAGAGTGCGTGCGTATAAACGCATGTTTTATAATTACGATCCTTGTACTGAATAATGCGCTTTAGCTGAATAGTTGCCAATATTTTCCACGCGTTCCCACGGACCCCATGGGAATGGATACAGTATTTTTGTTTTTTATGGAATATTAATTATAGTTTATTTAATAGTTAAAAATTGCTAATATTGTACTGTTTTTTGCGCTTTAAAAAATTTAATTTTTTTGTCTAAACTTAATTTTATAAATTTCAATACTCTTTCTATGCATTTGCTTACTGTTTAAAATTTATTGCTCTACGCTTTCCTATCACTTGTGCACAACTGGTGCGAAGCCATGTGTTTTGTGTCACAGTCCGTATAACAGACGTATGACACTTTTATTGCTTTTTTTACTAAAGTTCTTGCCTAATCCTTGTTAATGGGCATAGCGTTGACCACAGCTTATGCAATAGACACTATTTGTAATACTATTAGAATTGACACTTTTTTGTAAAATTAATTGCCGCTAAAAAACAGATGTAAAATTTTCACAACCATTTTGCTATACCAGTTGACAGTTTGTACAAAATTAATTACTTCTACGCATAATAATTCTTAGTTTTAATTGCTTATATTGACATTTCTTGTCACTATTAATGCGTGCATTTTTAAATTAATTGCTATTTACAAATTATTTTCTAAAAATTTGACTTATATATTGTACATTTAATTGCCTAATAAATTGAGTTAAATCCCAGAGAAGAGACATGTTATCAGGGGAAGCCGCGGCACGTTATGGGTTCCACCGCCGAGTTCGCTCAAGGTATGGCAGGAGATTCCCCATGGATTCCCATGGAATCCCCATAAGTCCCACGGATCCCATGAAACCCACGACACCTGGACATCATCCGGTACAACCAGGTACACGTCAATTGTTACACATGCGAATTGCAATTGCAGACTTGGACGAAAAAATTAATAAACTGTTTGCACTGATGGACAAAATGATAAGTATGATTGACTCGATGGTCACTGCACGCGACCCACACCTTCGCAAAGTACCTATTAATAGATCCAGAATTTGTTACAATTGTCGCATGAAAGGGCATATTGCACGGTGGTGCCCTGACCCATTAATTCGGGATCTGTTTAGAGTTTACCGTACGGCTAACGAAAATGCCGTACACCGCGNGAAGCAACGCACCGCTTCCCATACTCCCGCAGAAGCAACGCACCGCTTCCCATACTCCCGCAGAAGCAACGCACCGCTTCCCATACTCCCGCAGAAGCAACGCACCGCTTCCCATACTCCCGCAGAAGCAACGCACCGCTTCCCATACTCCCGCAGAAGCAACGCACCGCTTCCCATACTCCCGCAGAAGCAACGCACCGCTTCCCATACTCCCGCAGAAGCAACGCACCGCTTCCTATACTCTTGCAGAAGCAACGAACCGCTTCCCGTATTTTTGCAGAAGCAACGAACCGCTTCCCGTATTTTAGCAGTAGCAACGAACCGCTTCCCGTATTTTTGCAGAAGCAACGAACCGCTTCCCGTATTTTAGCAAAAGCAACGTACCGCTTTTCGTACTTTAACAGAAATAACCCTTTCTGGCAACGTACCGCCCAGAAAAGTCATTCGCTATCGCGTAACGTGAACGACTGTATTGTCGATGGAATTTATATGGATAGCCCGCAGATAGTCATCCAAATCAGAGCTCGGTTAGGACGACACCTTCCGCGGACCTGTCCTGTAAAGTAGCGCCATGCGACAACAAATGAAAACATTGATAATTGTGATGAATAACTATATAAAAATACATTATGGTACCATGAAGAAAATTATGAGGAATTGGCGGAGACGTCCATCAATTTCGGGCATACTAACGCACCTGTATGCGAGTCATAGCAAATAATGAAATAACTGGGAGACACCGTACATTGATTGCGGACACCGCGCAGTCAATGGGAGACACCGTACATCGATTGCGGACATTGCGCAGTCAATGGGAGACACCGTACATTGATTGCGGACACCGCGCAGTCAATGGGAGACACCGGACATTAATTGCGTACACCGCGCAGTTAATGGGAGACACCGTACATTGATTGCGTACACCGCGCAGTCAATGGAAGACACCGTACAACAAGTGCGTACACCGCGCACGCCATGGGAGACACCGTACAACAAGTGCGTACACCGCGCACGCCATGGGAGACATCGTACAACAAGTGCGTACACCGCGCACGCCATGGGA